TCAGAACCACCAGACAGAATAGAAAACCTCATAGTTAAGTGGATGTGAGGGGAAGTACTCAGAAGCAAATCAATAGACATAATATCACACTGAACTATAAACTGCCCTCTTGCTACTGCCCTGACGGTCTCTCATAAGTTTGGTATGTTATGTTTCCATTTTTGTTTCTTTCTAGAACTTTTAAAATTTCTCTTTTTATTTCTTCAATGACCCATGGTTCATTTAGAAATATGATGTTAAGCCTTCATGAATTTGAATGCTTTCTGAAGTTTCTTCTGTTGTTAGTTTCTAGTTTTATTTCACTGTGGTCAGAAACATTTGATATGATTTTGATTTTTTAAAATATGTTGAGACTTGTTTTGCGACCCTAATAAATAGTTTATTTTAGAGAATTTTCTATGTGCTAAAGAAAAGAATGTGTGTTCTTTAGCTGATGGATGCATTATTCTGAAAACGTCTGTTGAGTCTATCTGATCCACAGTATAATATAACTCTGATGTTTATTCGTTGGTTTGGGTCTGGATGACCTGTCTACTTATTAAACTGGGGTGTTGAAGTCTCCCATTACAATTGTATTGGAGCTCTTCCTCTCCCATTGCATATAATAATGTTTCTTTTATAAAATTGAGTGCTCTGGTATTGGGTACATATATATTTGTAATTGTTATATTTTCTGCTTGAATTGATCCCTTGATCATTATATAGTAATATTCTTTGTCTCTTTTAATAGTACTTCTATAATTCTATTTCGTCTAATTTAAGAGTAGCTACTCCTGCTTGATTTTTGTTTCCATTTGTTTTATAAATATATATATACCTCCTTTCAGTGTATAGGTGACATAACTTGAGATGACATAAAATAGTGAGCAAGGAACTGGAAAGGGAGTCTTACCTTTGCTATTAATAAGCTATGTGACTTCAGGTAAGTCTCTTCACATCCTTTCTTCAGATTTAAAATAAAAAATTCTTTCAGGCTCCAAGATAAAGCACTGCACATGCCCCACTATCATCCACAGGCCTTTAACACCACTTCTAGCATATTGAACAATGATGTCACCAGTTCTCCTTCAATGACATGCCCCACAGTTAGGTGGGCTCACTGCCTATGACAGCCACCTCCCTAGGTATTGCAGTGCATATCACAGGCTCTGGGGTATCCTGCAGAGAAACAATGGATTTAATTTTATTAGTGCTGTCTTCCCAAGTTTTAACCACAGAATACTATGTATCACTGAACACTTAATAAACCTCTCATGACTGGGGAAATGGTGATGTCACAGATTGTCTTCTGGAGAGCAGGAATTAATGGGAGGAGGGTGCTCCTGGAGGGCTGCTGTCATGCTGACCCTCTGGCACCAGGAAATGAAGAAGTTGAAAGGGATGTGCATGAGAGTTACCAGAGATGTGGAGAGGGATAGCTGAAGGGTGACAGAAATGAGTAAACATTTTGGAGTAGGTTATAGGGAAGTGGTAGGGCAAGTGATTTCCTTTGGGATGTATATTCTGAGGTCTTCAGAGTGGGCTTTTATTCCCTAATTCCCCCAGCTCCATGTGGAGCTACTACAAAACAAGCTTCTGCACATCCATCAGCCCGCACATTCTACTTGGCTTTCAGTCTCTCTAATTGGATTATTAGCAGATGGGAGCTTTTCTACTGCCTTGGCTCAAGGTCTCCTGTTGTGTACAGAAGAAAGGTGTTTGGTGGGAGGGAGATCCCATTGGTAAGGCTTATCTGAAACTGCTCTTCCCCACCTCTCAGACACCTTTCAGGTCCAGTACTTCAGATATTTGAGATAGCAGGTCACACATCCCCCTAACATTGATAATTTTTACTAATGAAACTAGCTTTATTGTTTTATTTTGTATGCAGATTTATAAATGTTCAAAAAGATCAAATACTACATAACATTTGAGGAAAAAAGTGAAGAGAACTGACTTCTGCCTATGATAACCACTATTCATTTTGGTGACCCATCTTCCACTTTATCATGCTGTCATTTTATCTGTGCATCCACATCTTTACCAAGGATCATTATGTGTGGAAGGCACAATAGTGGGTCCTCAAAGTAGGTCTACTTTTGAATCCCCAGAACCTGTGGTTACGTTCTATCACATGGCAGAAGGACATTAAGGTGACCAATGGAGTTAAGGCTGATGACAAGCTGTCCCTAAAGTGGGGAGATCATTCTAGGTCATACAGGTGGGCCCCATGTAATCACAGTCATCCTTAAATGTGGAAGAGGGAGGAAAAAGTGTCAGTGTCAGTGTAATGCAACGTAAAAGAAGTCAAGTAGTCATTGCTGGCTTTAAAGATGGACAGTGACCATGCAACGAGGAACATGGGCACCCTCTAGGTGCTGGAAAAGCCGTGAAAAAGGAATGTACAGTGTAGACAACTGTCACCATCAAGAGCATCCCCCTGAGCTGGTCTTCCACTTTCCTTTCCTTGCCTCCACTTCCCACCCACATAAACAATTTTAACAATCTGGTATGTCTCCTTTCATGCATTTTTGTGCTTTTGCAGTCGTATATACATGCAGGTACACGCAAATACACATATATTCGTAGAGATAGAGTATTTTTTGATTGTTATACAGAAATGGAAGCTCAATTCCAATTTTTACCATACTTGACATTTTCAGATTGCATTTTTTTACTACATAAGTCTTCAGGTGACACAATTGGGGTATGTATGTTGCCTTACAGTATTTTCCCCCCTATGGCCTGAATAGAGCTCATGATGAAGTTGACTCCATTTGCCAAAAATGAGGAGTGAACAGGGCTTGCCCTGTGGATGGCAGTATTTGAGCTCTGGGGTTCAGCTTTGAATGTCTGTGTGTGTGAGATCTACTTCAGGACTGTTCAGCTGCATGAATCACAATACATGCCTTTTACTTATTTATTTTTTTGGCCATTTAAAATTATAATTTTTCTGTACCTTGGTAATATATTGTCCTGACCAAGATATAAATTCTAAAAGTCTGTTCCTCTTTGGTGGCAATACTATTATACTATTAAAAGGTCTCAGGAGTTAGATGGCTTAATAGTTCCTTCCCCTACATCACTCCACTTCAAACCCTAGTCATTATTTTAGTCAAAAAAGCTCAATTCAAACAACATGTATTAAGGGAAAAAAGAGATTTATTAGGTCATGCCACCAGCAAGTAGAAACCAGGAATCCACAGAAGTCCAGTCAGCTTGTTCTCTTTCCATTTTCAATGAATTGGCACTGGGGCCAGAGACAGTGCTTAACTCCTATTGCAGTAATAAGGAGCCTTCTTAATTCCAACTTTAGTTTGAAAAATGGCAGTAAAAGGGTTCTGGTTGGCTGGGGTGGAAGATGTGCTTGACTTGGATTTCACCCTATGGACAGATGATGCTGAGCTCTAATTTGTCCAGTGTGGGTCATGGACACATCTCCATGGCTATGGGTGGGATCAGTCTCTTCATAGATAAAGGAAGCAGAATAGACTTTTCCACCAAAGACTATCATGATCACATTACAGGAGATTGACAGGTAAAAGGAGATTGAATGAGTAAGTCAGTGAACTCTTAAGAATATCAGATTCGGTCCTTTGGGTTTCGGAATTTTCTTGCTAAATATGAACGAAATTGGGACAAAATGAGGTACAGTCAGCCCTCTGTATCCGTGTGTTCTGCCTCCATGCATTTAACCCCTGCAAGTAAAAAATATTTAAAAAGAAATTAAGTCCATACTGAACATGGACAGACTTTACCTCTTGTCATTATTCCCTCAACAAAACAGTATAACAAGTATCTACATAGTATTTACTTTAAATTTTTTTTATTTCTTTTAATTAGTTATACATGACAGTAGAATGTGTTTATGCACTTTGATATATCATACATAGATGGGATATAATTTCTCATTTTTCTGAGTGTACATGTTGCAGAATCGTATTAGTTATGTAGTCACATATATACATACAGTAATAATGTCTGTCTCATTCTACTATCTTGCCTATCCACATAGCATTTACTTTTTATTAAGTATTAGAAGTAATATAGAGATTATTTAAAGTATATGGGAGGATGTACATAGGTTATACACAAATAGTGTACCATTTTACATAAGGGACTTAGGCATCTGTGGATTTTGGTGTCCCCAAGGGTGGAGGTGGGGTTCTGGCACCAATCCCATGAAGTACAGAGGGGATGCTGCATTTATGATGCATCAATAACTAAGCATAACCAACTACTGATAAGTCATTTAAAAAGCATGATTTGTCTTAAATATTTAACTCCTGGAAAGGAAAACTGAGACCATAAGCTGATACTGAAGACCCCTCTGACCTGTGAAATACGCTCTAATAGGCTGGCAATTTCCAGAGGTCACAGCCTCACCTGAAGGCAAAAACACAACACTTCCCAGATGCTTATGTTGCAGAGCTGTCCTGGGAGAATGGCTCTAGCTGTTGTTTTCTGTCCTTCCCTGCTGGACAAGTCCTAGTCCTCCTTCTAACAGCAGGGCTACATGGCATTTTGAGTCAAGCTGTCTCTTGGAAGCAGAAACCATGAGGGCTGGGTTGGGATGGTGGGACAACTGGCATTCAGCTGAGTGGGAGGAAACGGAACAGCTCACCAGCTGCCGAAGAGAGTGTTTGCAAAGTATGTGAGAGATGGGATAAAAAGTGTGCATGTGTATAGTCTGGATATGTTCTTTTAACATCCACCTTATTTATTACAAATACTTTGCTCTTTATGACAGACTCTTCTGCCTTCTGAATGTTTCACACATATCAGGAGTTATACTGTTTTCCTTAAGTTCCATCTAAGCTTGGAAAAGAAATAAATGACTCTTAGGTTCCCTTCCTCTCTGTGGCATTTGAACCTGTCGATGCTGCATACCTTCTGTCTGTGGGGGATGGGTACCTCACCTTCATTTATGTCCCTTATGTGGGCAATTGAAGCTGTATTGTGTTTGGTTTTGGGGAATTCCCCAGCCCAGGTTCACTTTGATTTTCTTCAGCTGCCAGGCTACCAGCCATGATGGTAAAGCAACACTGTTCACTGTGTTCCTAGCATGTGCTGGCCATTTTAAATCAGAGACACAGTCGAGTAATGAAGGGCATGGACTTCAAGTATTGGCCCTTCTGGCTCCTTACTCAGATGTATGTCCCAAATGCTCTCTGTTTCCCATTTTTCACCTAGAAAGTGAGGCTAAGAAAGTAGAAATGTTTGGAGCAGTCAATGAGATAATAGGTGGAAAAAGCTTAGAACAGTAACTAGCATGTAACAAATGCTCAACAAACAGTTTTTTGTTTTAGTTTTTGTTTCTGTTTGAGTACTGGGGATTAAACCCAGGAGCACTCTACCACTGAGCCACATGCCCGTTCCTTTTTGGTTTTCACTTTGACACAGGTCTCACTAAGTTGCCCAGGCTAACCTACTGCCTCACCTTCTGAGTAGCTGAAACATAGGCATGCTCCCCTGCTCCAACAACAAATATTAGTTATTAATGTGAATCCTTGTATTCTCACAAAATGAGGTTTATTATCTGCATTTTAGAATCAAAGTTTGTCATAGGAACCAAAATAATAACTGATCTGAATCCCACAAAATCCAAGGGATAGAGCCAGATCCATATTCTGCCTCATGTGACAAACCTGCAGTGACAAAACTGTGTTCATGGCATTGCGGAAGGCAAATTCCTAGCTGTAAGACTGAGAAAATTATGTAATGCCTCAAACCCCATCTTCTCACCTATGTGGAATGGATAATACTGCTCTTACATAATAGTTGTCATGATGTGCAAATGAGGTAAAGTAGTGGAAGTAGTAAATATTCATTACTTTTTAGGCTCCTTTCCTACTTTTTATTCAAAATAAATTAAAACATGATGGAAGTAGTGATTTCTTACCTGATAATATGTTCTCAAATCATAAATAAGTCCTTGGTTTGTTCCATGCTACCTATCTCCTGCATTCCCACTCTCCTTGGGATGATGGAGATTCACTGCTGATGAGTCAGCGTTTTCTGACCCAAACAAGCTCTTTCCTCCCTGGAAGGGCATGAGACACGTGTGCAACAGTAGGTGGTATGGGGCAGTGATGAGAGTTGGACAGGATACCAAAACACAGGAGCCCCAGCCTGGCCTTCCATCGCCCACTGTGTATATGACCTTGTCAGTCACTGAAAGTCATTCAGATCTCATTTTCTCAGTATAAAACGTAGGAAGCAATGTGTCCTCTGATGTCCTCAAATAATTACTATGAAAAACACATGAAAGAATAAGGCTGAAATACAATCAAAATGAGTAATGCACTACACAAACCTGGGGATTCTGACTGCTATCAGACTCAACTTTATCGCTCTTCTTATGAACTTCAGACCATCCTTACTTTCCTCCCTAGGACTTTATAATCATTTGGGTCCCGACTGCAGGTGGGCTGTCAAGACCAGGACATTTGGACATCACCAAGGGCTTGGACCACTGCCACTTGGAAGCCCCCTCTCCAGTCCCTAGGAAAGCACATAGAGGAGTTGTGAGCTGCTGGTATGAAATAGAGCAGCAGAGACCCTATGCAGCCTGGTTATGGAATTTACAACCACCAGGAAGAGGAGATGGGGAAATGAGAAATGTGGAACTTCATAACAAGGGCTTGTTACTCACAGGCTCCACAGGGCTGGACTTGGCATCTGTAGCCACAGGTCAAATCTTAGCTCTAGGACCTCAGCAAGTCACATCTCTGAACTTATATTTCCTGCTCTGTGTAACTGGAACATCACTTATGCTCTGCCTTATTGAAAGATTCAGCATGAGGATAAGATGCTTGCTGAAGAGTTTTAAAAACTGTGTACCATTATATAAACTGTATGGCACCCCAAACAGGCAGTCATTGTATGAATATTTTATGTGAACAATAAAGCCTCTTCACACCCTGAAAGCTCTCATGATCCGACCCAACTCCAGCTCTTGTCCATTTTCATCACCTCCAGCTCAGACATGGCACATGAGAGCTCTAGGTACAATGGTTTTGAGTGGGTAGCCAAAGGCAAGTTAATTGTTGACTCTAGACTGACCTTCGTGGCTCATATTCTCAGAGCGTCAGATCCTCAGCCAGGGTCAATCAGGGATGAACAAAGCAAGGAATACGTAGAATAGTAGCAGCCTATCTCCCAGTCTCCAGAGAAGGATTTCTGCACAGGGATCGTAGACAAAATATTTAACAATCTGGAGGGATGGTGCCATCTTGGACCCAGAAAGCTTCTGCAGTCTCAAGTAATGTTTTTGTTGTTTCAGGGGAAGTGTAGGTCTTGATCACAAGGGTCAGACAAAGCACCTAGAGTGATGATGGGGCACTGGGGCTGTTAGTAATGGGCATTAACTAACCAGTTTGCAAATATTTCAGTATTTTTAGTTTGTTAGTACTTCAGTACTAGGTTAGCTGAGACCATCATTTGAGCATCCAATTTGCTTATCTCCAAGCATAACAAGCATTGATCTTCTCTTCAAAGAGTCAGCAAGTGCCTGAAGCTCCTCCTTCTGTCTCCTCTCCTTGATCAGTATGGCCTTTTCCTCTTTCAGCCTTCAACCTCCTTTTCCTCTTACTTGCTAGAAAAAGGGCATATATAATATTTTTTTCACACATATTCAGAGTCCTGGTCAAACTCCCATTCTTTCTCTTCTTAGTCATTATATTAAAACAATTTAATTCTCTCTTCAGCCTTAAAACAAAATGAAACAAAAGGCCTGTTTATCATTCAACCACTGGGTTAAGTAAACAATGGACTCAAACAGGAATAAGGCCCATACTTTTCTCTCCCAGACTTCCTCTTAGGGAAAGGCTCAAAGGTTTTCTTTCTGGAGAGGTATTTGTTGCTGCCACAGAGAATAATGGGGACCCAAAGAAATGATTAATTAGGTCCTGGGTCAAGGCCAGGATGCAATAAAGAACTTTGGTAGAAAAAAAATTCAAATACATTTACATGAAAAAAAAGTTGAATGCAAAACAGTTTTGTAATATAAGCAGTGCTGCTGGGGTGTTTTCAAAATGAGAAAAGCTGACTTGAGATCTAAAAAGGCTGTGTAACCAAACTCCAGAGAGTAGAATCCTGGAGTCAGTCATCTGAGTCCCTGCACCATCATTTACTGGCTGTGTGAAATTAGGCAAGTAACTGAATATTTCCCTTCCTCAGTTTTCTCATCTATAAAATGTGAAAGAGGAAAGAGTCCCAACTCAGAGTTGTCATAAAGATTAAACGATATTTCACTAACGGGCGCTCAGGGTGTGGCTTGGCATATAGGCATCATGAGTCACCCGCTCCATTTCTATGTGTTTTAATTTCTCACTGGGATGGAGAAAATGCTATATGTTCACTGACACCATGCTTTCTTCTTCCGTTGGACATACAGGTAGACTTAAAAGCCAACCTTCCTTGCAGTTTAGTCCAAAAACATGACAGAGTTCTGCCCATGAAATATGAGCAGAATTGGCATGACCCCTGCAGGCTGAAGTGATTAAGGCAGAGCACTTTCTCTGTCCTCAGTGATCCCAAACCTTGGGCACCTTTGAGGAAGGGGCTGGACCACTGAATGTCTGTGTGGAGCAAAGCCCCTCTCTCTACTGCATTCTCTTCTGAACTGTGACATAAGCAACAAATAAACCTCTTTTGGGTTTTCTGCTAAGATTTGGGGGCTTGTTTGTTATAGCAA